TTTGGGATTTGGGATTTGGGATTTGGGATTTGGGATTTGGGATTTGGGATTTGGGATTTGGGATTTGGGATTTGGGACAATTTTATTATATTTGGGATTTGGGTGGGATTTTAAGATTTTTAGTTTTGCCAACATATATAGATTATACTGTTCATACGTGCGCACTTACGAAGTCTCTTCAAATAACTTTCACATATTCATTCTGTAGTATTTCTCACTCAAACATCAAATAATGCAAAATTTATTATTGTAAAAATATTTTTTGAGCTAGACTTTTGATCCTAAAGTCGCTGAATATTTGAATATCCGAAAACAATTTCTTCGCTGAATCGAATATTCATTAAATATATGTATGAGTGCGTGAGAGTGAAAACATTTAATGATTTACTATAATTGGTTACAGATTTTCACTCATACGTATACTTAATTTTATAGCTTAACTATATATATTGCGTTAATGATTACGTATTATCTTTATTTAGATTTAACGTTAATAATTATTCATTCAAAATTTTTAACAATTTAACAAATGAATATTCGAATTTGTTTTTTTTTTTTTCTAACTGGATCAGACTTCTGTTTGGAGTATGGGTTTGGAATTTATTCATATATAAGGGAAATGATTTCTTACTAACAAAAATTTAAAATTTTATTTTTTTTTGTCTTTGAACTATGTAAATTTGAGTCTGCTCTACATTATAAAAAAAAATCGATGAACTCTAACAATAATTTATAATTTTCCTGTGGGTATTTGGACGAACGCAATGACATTACCATTTAATACTTTATAAGGTAAATGTGGGTATTTTGACGAATTGAACATATTGCAATAAACCGTTCTTTTACTAAGTAAGTTGAATCTCATTTGCTAAGTTAAGTTGTTCGAAATACCATCTTTTACTTATCCTCAAATTTTGGCGCAATATTAATAACTTTTTACTAATAGTTATACGTTTCGACGCAGCCGCAGTAAATTGATTTTCTGCGCCAAAACGTATAACGAAAAAAACCTATTAGTAATAAGTTAATATTGTGCCAAAATTTGAGGGTAAGTAAAAGATGGTATTTCGAACAACTTAGTAAATGAGATTCAGTTTACTTAGTAAAAAACGGTTTATTGTAATATGTTCAATTCGTCAAAATACCCACATTTCTCTTTGTGGCAAAGGAATTTAGAAATCCTAAATCCACTTAGATTCCGTTCCCACTTTCAGCATCATATATGCAGTGTTGTACATAGTTTTAAGGATAAGTTTATAAGAACATTCGGTGGGCTGCCTTCCAGAAAGTGGATAAGCGCACTTTACAGTATATGCGTAACTACAGCATGTTTAAAAAAATCATATATATTTAAATGTAGATTTCAGCTTGCTTAAAAACCAAACTTCAGTACTTTATTTTTTTTTCATGGCAATTATGGTTTGTCAAATGGAAATAATAGATCTATTTGTCTATTTACTTTTATTTCCAAATAAATAAATTTCTTTATAACCGTCAACAATTAACGTTAATCATCATAAATTGAAAAAAGCATACGTAAGTCTACACCTTGATTCTCTAGCCCTTTTTTTATTTCCAACTCTTGAGACTGCCATTGTTTTGGTATAGCTCTTCTACTAAGAAATAATCTTTTTAAACTCTTGACTCTAATAGCAAACTCGGATATAACAGAAATATATTGACTAAAAACATAGTTAAGACTTATGGGATAAATGCTAATAGTATTTAAAGGAACCATACAACATTCAAAAAATTTACTAAACACATCTATCGAAGCTAAATTTCCATGATATTTAAGATGTTGAAGAGATTTGGGCAATTTCTTAGCCAATTCAGAAATACGTGGGCAGGCAATAGCATCTATAATAATCAATGTATGCAAATTTTGTAAGCAGCTAATCCAATTACAAAATGATGGAATATACATCGAACTTTCTACGTATAGGATCATTTTTTTAATATTTGGGCAATGTTTATGAACTTCTCGAATTATTTCTGATGAGAAATTGTCATAAATAGTGATAGTCCGTAAATCATGACCAGCTTTTGCGAAAATTGCTAAATCTACCTTAAAATACCAAGAATTATGGCGTAAAATTATGTTATTTAAACGAAATGATGCTCCATTTATGATTTCGCAATGTCTAGGCTCTAATCCAGCGCAATATGATAGACTAAGAGTCTTCAGATTATGGAAACCACCTATTATTTGAATTGAAGTATCATTAAAATGAACATGTGAAGCAAAAAAAGAAGTTAAGGTTGTAGATTGTGTATCTCTTAAAGATGATAAAACTGTCAGGTTCGAACGAAACGACATTTGAGAGATATTAAAAGACTCAAGTCCATTTTGTTTTTGAATAAGATCTACTAGTAAATCAGGGTATAAAGAGCTATTCCATAAGATGCGTTTAAGTCCCGTAGAGAGTGACGGCAGTCGTCGAATTAATTCAATACTGTTTTTATATACTTGTTCTTTAAATTCACCTGAAAGTACGTTAAAATTGAAACTTTTCAAGTAATAAATCGCACTTCTAGAACAAATATCTGGAATATCTCCTTCCCCTAGCTCCGATTTTAAATCGATACTTATTATTCTACGACATTTACGCATCAACATTTGCCAGATTGCTGTCTTTACACTATTCATTAAATGATCCCGAGGTTCAATTACTCTATACCATGCACTGGTTTCAATTTTATATCCTTCTTTGCTTAACCATGATTTTACAGATCTGTTTATATCAGAAAGATTAATTATCTCCAAGAACTTTCCATATTCAAATAACGGTAGTTTATTAGCTGGAATATTGATTCGAAATGGGATTAAACATTTTAATTCATCGTAGTTGAGACATGAAAGATAAGTGCGAATGACTCGTGCATCTACGCGAGGTCTTCGCCATAGAATTGGTATAATACATCTACACCAAAACCGATTTACAAAAAGGTACTTATAAAGAATATATTTGGTTTCATGGTCATCGCTATTAAGAAAGATAATTATTATATATTGCACATCATTAGGAAGAGAAACAGACATTTTTTTCAAATTATACATTTTCAAAAAAATGAAATTACGTGAAATATTCCAATATTAATAATATATAAATTTATAATACCTTGAGTGTTACTCAGGCAAAGGAAATCTAGTACAAATTAACACAGTAAAAGTGATCATATTATTCAGTATTCGAATCTGATTGGCCAGTTCAGATATTCATCACGTGACTATTACGCATAAAGTAGTTAGGGGACGGGCTGATTTCTTTAGGGGTCATGACATGATCAGGTAGGTTGTCAGGTGAGGAAGTTTCTATAACAATAGTAAACAAACATCACCTTTAATTTACTGTATACAGTACATTTATCGGTTAAAATAAATACACACCTCCGTTGCAGAGAAACTTTGCGGAGAAATTTTAGTTCCATTTGTTCTAAAATACATAAAAGAATACATTCAAATAATAAGTTTTTTATTTAACTTTTCAAATGATCAGTGCTATGTCTTCATGGCTCAGCAACTTATCATAAGGACAAATGAGAGGTGATCTCAGTCTGGGAATTTCCGATTGATCATCAAAATGATTAATAATACTATGAGAACTCTAATTCCCAGATCGACATTTTCCTAGACCACCTCTCAAATAAGCTGAATAATAATATATACAGGGCCGATGAGTGATATTTATTTATTTTAAAAATAAATAGCCTTAGATATATAGCCGCATTTCGATAGGACCAGGAAAACTATGTCATAGGTCCCCGCCACAACATAATTCGAGTACTAAGGTAAAGGGAGGTAATTTGGCGCACTTAAGAATTACTAATAGTAAAACTCTTCTAAAAAAGGTTGAATATTTACAAAGTTTATAGAGCTTATACCTCCACTCATATACTTTAAATAAAAAAAGAAGACAATATTTACAATAAAATACAAGTTATTTTATTATTCGTTTAGAACCATTGAAAAAGTGAGATTTTAAATTTGGAGGGTAATTTGGCGTATCGTTTTTATTAGAGCATCACAATACATACGTAGCGTACGTACGTACATTGCATACGTACATCAGTTTTCTATAGCAAATAAACGTTTTACACAAAACAAGCAGGATTTCTTACTAAACAAATCAAATTTCATCCACTAAGTAAAGTTATTGGAAATACCGTTTTACGGATACCTTCAAATTTTGGTGCAATTTAGTTAATTTGTCATTAATCTATTTTCACGTTATACATTTGGCACAAAAAGCAACCTTTCCGCCCAGACGAACAATTAACCAAACCGCATCAAAATTTGAATGTATCTAGTAAACGGTATTTTCAATAACTTTACTTAGTGGATGAAGTTCGACTTGCTTAGTAAAAAATCTTGTTTTCATGAGTTATTTTCGATGCCCCCCGCGCCATTATACACTCATTTACCTTATATATATTATAAATTTGGAAAATGTATCGACTTATCATAGATTCGAATTATTATAGTCACTTGAAATTCTCGGCTTAATATAATTCGCAGAAAAAAAAGGCCATCGTTTTAGATTAGATTCGTATATATATAGAACATAAAAAGTTACTGCTTTTGCTGATTTTATTATTAAAATGATCAATGAACGTAAATACGAGCACGGTCAGGACGAAATTGAAGCAAAGCTCCGGAAGAATCCGAAAACCCCTTGACACAAAAATGATTTGCATTACTATTAAATTCTAAAAGGTGTCCGTAAAACTGATTCGCAAGAATATATATATAATTTTAGAACCTGGCTGCGAAATAGTGAAATCCGCTTTGTAAATTGGGTTGGGTGAAATTACGTTTTTTATTATATAACGATAAAAGCGGATTTTACCCTCATATGATTAAAGCGAATATCACTATTTCGCAACTCAGGTTTTACCCTGTCGTAAATTTTTTATGGCAGGGTCCTTAATAAAGTTTTCTCGATCCTATTGCGATCTCTTTATCAAAAGATCCAATGTCTTCCACTTTTTAAAATATATGTGATAAAGTGCACTTACCGCGTAACAAAAAAAAGACAAGATATTATGCCATAAGCATTAGCGTTAGTTTTCGATCTATTCTTTAGACGTTACCTTGATTGAGTCCGGATTCTCTTTCATGTATTTGGTTCCGTAAATTAATCGACCAATCAAAATCATGAATTTTGTTACATAGTCATTCCTCAGAGTTATTCGGAAAAATGAGATTTTATATCAAACTTTGAAAAACACGCTCATTATGCAAAATAATCCAAGCCCAGTATTTGTTTAGAAAACAAATACATAATTTTAATGATTTTAAAAATAGATTATTATGAAATTCATAATCATCTATTCTTAGAATGTACGTTTTTTCTTGCCCGCACTAATACAATTATTGTGGCAGATTAAAATGAAATTTTATATAAATAAAATAGACAAGCCACCGAAAAGTACAAAATTT